TCTTAAAGACAACCATGTAGTCCATAAAATAGCCTATTCTATAGCAGACAGCATAAATGCAGTGGCATTTGAGGGAAGAGTTTGCAAGGTTAAAACGATTGTTAAAACACAGACTGTAATCTGTAAGATATTTGCCAGTTTTGTTGGCCAGTTTCTTTATTGTGGAAGTGCAAAACAGAGGTAAGCAAATTCCCATCCATTCTTAATTCACAAAAGCTTCTGTTCAAAACAACAGCATCTTGAATCCCACCCTGAAGAATTTCAAAATGACAAACTGGAACTGCTGTTAATCCTCTTTCCTTAAAAAGGAAAACATGTAAGAAAAGGTAAACAAATTAGAAAATGTAAACATATGCTTTTGAAAGTTTTACAGAAATTACACATCTCTACATTCATGTTAAACCACGTTTGTCAATTAGAAACTAAACTCCAGCAAGAACAGCAGACATGTATTAACTGCCCCCCCCCACCAGCAAAAACACTAAAAATAGTTAAAATGTGCAAAAGAACCAACTGATTGACTAACTAACCTTCGTCACTACAGACTACAGGTGCCAAACAGCAGTTTGTTTTTCCTACTGAGCCGATATTACACATTTTATCATACTGTACATCTAAGAACAAGTGCTGTCAGGTATAAGCTATAAGAGAAGGCATGATACAAGACAAGTATTTTCTGCAGGCATTGGGTAGATTGTCAGTGTCACATCACAGACTACACACACACACAAGCTCTCAACTTACTTTTACATAAGCACATACAAGTACATAAGGGCAGTTACAGTGGGCAAAGAAAAGAATCACCCCCTTTCAAAATATTCCGATTTTGTTATATCAGCCTGAAATGAAAACACACAAAAAACCCCAGCTTGTGTTAATAGTTAGTGAAACAACCTACAGCCTTGACTCTGCTTGGATGGTTCTCCTAGGCCATGCCAGGACATTCAGCCTTTCCTCCTTCAGCCACCGTATCGTCAATTTGTCCGAGTGCTTCAGGGATCCTGTTCAAATCAAGTCGTTCCATTTTATAAAATTCATTTTCAAAGCTGTTGCTATTTTTTCTGTCACTTGTATGTTGTAAACTGCATTAAGTAAATAAAGCTGATTTATTTTTTCATTTCAGGCTGTGATTCTTTTCTTTACCCACTGTATTTGGCACAAAACTTCACATAATCTACACAAAAAGTGTAGACTCATGGATAAATAACATTTTGAAAAAGTAAACATTTTGCAAGATGTGTCATCTTAAATAGCACGATACACCAACCTGATTTATTTTCTCATTTTTGATCATTTACATATTTCATACATAACTAGAAATGTTCATACACCACCAAAGGCTTTTTTGTTTGTTTTTTAACAGTTTGAGATTACTCTAAAATTAAGTGTAATTAAGAGATGAAACTATTTTATTGACATTGTCACGGACAATTTTAATGCAATTTAATTTGTCACACCTGGCAGATATTAATCTGCTTAATAGGGTTGGTATCAGTGCAGACACCACTGATCTCAGCAGCATTAACACTTCAGTCTTTTCACCTCTCAGGATCCACACAGGAGTTAAATATCAGTTTTAGCATCTAAAATGTAGTTACAGCTCCACTCAAGCACACCTCACTGCAGCTGAGCTGGCTGCATGCTGCCTTAAAGGACTCCCACAAACTGCCACTGTGGAAACAAATCTTCAGTTGCAGAATTACATTTTCACGCAGTCAATTCTGTCAACTTTAAACACACTTATCAAGCTTTTAGCACAAGTTTAAGCAGGAAGACAACTGTTTGTTGTCACAATAGAGCTCCACCTCCCTTCAGTTATCCAATCATTTCACTCGGTTTGGTGCATGGGAATTTCTGTCAGCCCGCTGTCTGAGCCAAAAACACAGCAGAGAATTAGGTTTTACCACACTGAGTCTGAACGCCCGCTAAGGTAGCAGGAGGATATTGGACCAGAATGCTCTTCATAGGGCAGTTTACACACAATTATTAACCCGGCTGGGTACCGGGTAAGAATATGGAATTGGTGTTCAGTCGGTAAAATTAAACTCAGATGGAACCAAATCTGTCCTGTGCCTCAATTGTCCAGGCCAAAATAAAACCATACACAGAAGATCATACACTGGAAATGTTACCTATTATTATTTTGAGCAAACTGTTTATCACTTCAAATCAAGCTGGAAGTATCTGCTTCAGTGCATCACGTGTGCTTTGGCCCAGTTTGTCAGGGAACTTAACAGTGAAGTCCAAGATCATGTCACCCCTCTTCTCAGGAAACTTGGATAGCGGCAGTCCTTCTCCAACAATGCGCTTTTTCATTCCAGGTTTGACAACATCTCTGGAGGTCACAATGATGGTCCGGCCGTCCAGCGTGGGGGCGTTGACTGTGCATCCACATAATGCCTGGAGACAGAGAAGAGAACGGAAAACAAGGTAATTACATAATACCACCAATATTCGGTTGAGTTTTGATCATCCGGATCTTTAGCCAAAATATTACTAATAACTTCTTTTTCCAAGTGCCTCAAAAGGAAACGATTCTTGTCTGAATGTTAAGTTCTGTTGTCAGTGTTCACTTACTTCTTTGAGTGATATTTTTGCAGGATAAATTATATCTGAGCCCTCTCTTCTGAACACAGGGTGGGGTTTATCTCTGACCACAAACACCACATCTGCAGGAATGTTGGTCAGCGTTTCATCTCCCTCCCTGGGAAAGGTGATTTTTGTCCCCTCCTTCCAGCCCCTTTTTATATCAACTGTTAAAATCTTGTCCTCATTACGTATAGTGCAGCCATCCGGGTTCAGTCTCTTGCGGGAAATCTTCATCTTTTTGGTGCAGCCTGAGAAGACTTCCTCGAGGCTCACTTTCAGCTCATGTATGACGGGTGGGTCTTTCTTCTTCTCATGTGCTCTGCGAAGGCCTCCTGGGTGGGATTTAAAGGGCCTGTGAAAGCCACCTATGCCTCCCATGCCAAATGCTGCGAAGGGGTCATTGATGTCCATATCATCTGCCCCATCCTGAGAGAAGAAATGATCAAACGGGCTTCGGCCACCAAAGAACTCAGCAAAGATTGCATGAGGGTCTCCTTGAAAGGTGTAGTTGTAGCTTGGACCACTGTGTCCACCACCTCCACCACCAGCAGACCCCTTTAGTCCTAAAAAGGAATAAGATATAGGGAAACATCAGAGCTCTGCAACTGTATGCATTACCTTCTACAGGAACTACTGACTGACCAGGTTTGCTAACAAAAGGCAGGTAAGGTAGGCAAGATAGTTCACTATCATTTAGGACAAAGAAAAGCAGCCAATCCTCACCTGCCACAATTAATCCATTGTCAGTAACAGTTGCTCATAAATCACCTTTTGACTAGTTGATTAATTGACCATTTTCTCTATCAGCTGATAAATGGTTAGATTTTTTTTAGACTAGGCTTTAAAATATCAATAGACACCAGCCTCAAAAATTGATTGCTCATTCATTATGTGTGGGAGAATTTACAACTCATGCATGCTTCATGTTATTGTTTCCAGTGAGTTAAGATGCAGATATTCTTCCTCAGTCAGAATATTTAGTTCTAAAAGGCAAGATTGAGAGCATGTGTGATGTGAGGTGTTGCCTCAATCAGCATCATGACATTTGTGTGTGAATGGGGAAGCTGGCTTCAACTGGTTTTCCCAAGGTCCTCGGCTCTGATAACGTGGGTTTAAGATCTATCTGTTGAGAATAGGTTTGCAGCATTATTCTGGTTTCATGGTATGAAAATTGATGGTTATCATACAACGTACATTTGCTTAATACTGGTACTGAAGGGAAAAAAACCACAATACGTGCACACCTTTCTTTCCCGACTGCCTACAGACTCTTCAACGGGTGTCACATGCACAAATGCAGAGGGCATATTACAGAGAGGAGGAGGCTAGCAGCCCAACACCAAACTCCATCCAGCAAAAAGATTCCAAGCACCAAGATTTAAACCTTCAACCTTCCGGTTGGGAGAGGACTGTTCTACCCACTGCACCACTGACGCCCCCCCAAGCACATTCTTATGATAACACTTAATTTTACTCAACATTTTCAAAGCAGGAGCTTTACCTGTAACAGACTAGGATACCTTTACAGTACAAGATTAGTACTTTTGCAGGAAGTGAATACTTCCTCTATTACTGGTGCTAACATGCAAACTAACACGCTTTAGTAATACAACAGGTTATAGTTTTATGCTTTTTTAAATACTGTTTCTAAATCTGTTTATTCTTTAGGGTCAACTGCTGCAATCCAGCTCAGTTAACTGGCAGTCACATTCAATAAAAGAGACCCCTTTTCCATTCCTTTGCTGGTCACTGTAGGTCATAATAATAGTAATTGTAACAATACCAAATACTGTGAAACTGTTGCAACCCTTTCTGAGCCGTTTCTCCAGTATGAATTTGACATGCAATGCTGCATGAGCACTTCATACTGTCCGATCAGAATAAACATAGTATAGTTAAGAAGACAACTGTGACTATCTGAGCATCTCTCCTCTTTGAAATTTTCTTTTTTTGTCATTTGTCAAGTTAAAATACCAAAATATTGCTAGCTTCAAATTAGAGCTTAACAAATGCTCATAGCAAAGTGTTTCTGTTTAAATTTTACCATTAAATTAGATATGTCATTTGTCAAGTTAAAATACCAAAATACTGCTAGCTTCAAATTAGAGCTTAAGAAATGCTCGTAGCAAAGTGTTTGTTTAAATTTTACCATTAAATTAGATCAACGGTTTCTGAAAATATTCATTAGACTAACTGTAAGATTAGTAATGGCCATTCTGCAAGGAGCAGACGTTCATGTAGAGTTTCTCGGATGTTTTCTGTGTCTGTCCCCATACTAATGTACAGACAGCTCAGGGGCACAAAAAAATAAAGCTCTTGCAAACTGAGGTCACAAGAGCTACCGGCAGTTCACCTTCTTCTCCAAAGCGGTCGTAGATTTCCTTTTTCTTGGCATCACTGAGGACATCGTAGGCTTCAGCGATCTCTTTGAATGTATCTTCTGCTCCAGGAGACTTGTTCTTGTCAGGATGAAAGCGCAGGGCCTGTTTTCTGTACGCCTTTTTTATCTCGTCTTCGGACGCACCTTTGGATATTCCGAGCACTTTGTAGTAGTCTTTGCCCATTACGACGATGACCGGTCAGTTTTAGTTCTACTTCATGAAAACACTGCGGGCGCTGAACTTTCAGTTTAAGTTCATTACCAACCACACATCCACTCATGTGCAGGGTTGGTTAAAGGGGGGGACAGTGCCAAGACAACTTTCTGTTCTGAACCGAGTCGATGAATAAAAAAATGTCACTTAGTTAAAACTACAACATGTAATTTAAAAGCAGCCCTAGTTTGAAACACCGAGTTAGCTATACCAGCACTCCCTCTCTCTGCTCCACTGGGCTCAACTAGTTAACTTAGTCTTCCATGCTCTTGAGATATTTGCTATTATGAAATTACAATAAATGATAATGCAACAAAACTTACTGATCAGGCAGAAATAATTAATTTCTGCCTGGTTAGAAAGGTCAATCCAACTCCAAACCTTTTAGAAGCTATACTGCACTGCTGCCAGCGTTGCCCAAGTCACAGGAGCCTTCGACAGCACCTCTCCGCATTAAAACACATTTTGGAGCATATTTCTACAATAACAATATTTGAGATAAAACAAAAGTAACTCTAACTTTAACCACACAGCATAAAATAACCTGTTCATACAGGAGCGTCCGTTCACAGCCGTCAGGGTGTACGGTTAAACCATACTAGGAAACTTCTGGAAGAAGATGCTTTTGTGGGTCATCACTACTTAGCCGAGCCGAGAGGATTCACTCCGAACAACTTCCGGATTCGTTTTAACCGAAGGAGGCAAGTGGTAAGTGTATTTAATTTAAAACCTTAAATCATACTAACTTAGCAGAAGTGTGTCTGAATTAATTTTTCTTGATTATCTATACCAAATTAATTGCGATGTGCATCAATAATCAACACTTTTAAAATATTCATTAAAATTTTTGAGCACGCATGCGCAAGAGAACCATTTCCTGATGGATAATGTCGCTTTCACTGTCATTGCGGCGTTTGTGATCAGTAGTACTTCCTCACGTTTCATACTGTAGGCTACATATGGCTGAAACGGAATGTTTACTTTGTTTAGTAGTTTATATAGCCTACTCGGTAACCTTTATTTTAAAGGTGTGTAAATTTCTATAATTATGGGTAGAATAGAGCGTGATCCACTAGCAGATTTCCAGCTGTTTTTAAATGCAGTGCTAGCTCAACTTGAGATTTTTTTTCAGGTGAGCTACACATGCAAAATATGAAAATGCAGCTTGTCTAGAAACAACCATTATGTACATGATGATGAAGAAGGTTCTAGTAATAAATTAGTGGTTTTAAATGGAGCCGTTTCATGGAAATTAATCTGGAGGTCAATAATAAACTAAAATAACTTCGACAACAGTCACTATTTTCCATGTAATTAGTACCAAACTACACAATTCTTTCCAGGAAACCTTCAAAAAAATATAAGGAAATAGCGGACATAAAATATACTATAGATACCGTATATGTTTTCCATCCATCCATCCATTTTCTTAGTCCCAAACGGGGTCCCGTGGGGGTGGGAGGGGGCAATCCCAGCCAGCTGCGGGCGATAGGCGGGGTACACCCTGGATAGGTCGCCAGTCCACCGCAGGGCTCGTATATATTTTAATATGGCATTTTTATAAACATAATAAGATGAATAATATCAGAATTAACATCAACATTTTGACCAAGACATTCATTTACCACTTTATTATGGACACTTGCATGGGTAAAATTAATACAATCCAGTGCAGTAGCCTGCAATAAATCCCTCCTTTATGAAGGTTAAAATGTTATTCCTGCAATAGTTCATGGCAGTTCAAAAAATACCAGAATAAATACTGTATGGATAATGTATGTATACTGAAGTAGTTTATATAAATCAGTTGATGGAGATACTGAACATACATTCTGCTTTGCATTCTTGCACAGTATGTATGGATACATAAATTTGTAAGTGCAGTATTTTATATTGTTACTGCACAGGATTGCTATAAAACCTTACATTGATATGGTTTTATGTGTGTTTGTGTGTGTGTGCAGGCAACTGTCCTTATGTCTGGCTGGTTCACTGGTTGTAAAGTGCTCTATAGCACCTACCTGAGGAGATGAGTTGAACTATGTTATGTCCAGAGTGTGAGTGGTCTGCAATGATTTACCCAGCCTGTTTCCTGACTCTAGAGTACAAGTGCTGGATGGTTGGTAGGCTGGTAGCAGTAATTTTCTTTTCTTTTCTTTTTTTTACAGAACTATAAGCATTATAATACCATTTCAGCAATAATAAAAGAAAAACCTCACTAAGGTGTCATATCTTTCATAGGACCATTGTCCTTATTTCAGATGTCGATGTACCTACAGGAAAATACAAAAGCTGTTCTTGTAACCATGACATTCTGATTATCACTGATCCCATGGAGCCCCATGTTATAACATTCCTTTCAGGTTAGATCTAAGTGTTACAATCTTTAAAAAAGAAGCAGAAGCAGTTCAGCATATATTTGAGATATTTTATCCATGCATTGTTTATGATAACTTGTGTTAGCAGACAACATTTTCAATACAAGACTTAAAAATGATGTTGTATGCAAATAGTGCTATCACTGCATCCTGCTGGCTTGGACTACTGGTTATAAATAGTACACACAATATAGCTATGCAGTTGGCTCGCTATGATGAGTTGACCATGTGCGATGAAAGGCATCTCTGAGAACTCCCAATCAACATTTCCTACACCCTCCTCTCACTACAAACCACCTTGAAGTATTTTAGGAACAATGTTGTCCATTCAGCACACAAACCTTGAACCACACAGGCACCGAAATAAACATGTTTGACTTTGTTCTGGAGTTCAGGAAGAGAAAATGATACCAGCGTCACAGCCTCACAGGTGGTAGGGGTGGGGGGTCACTTCATCCTATGGATCAGGCATTTAACGGGGCCCATCATTCTGTAACCAGGTGAGGGCCAAAGCAGACATGAGATATGTCTTACAGGACTACTAAGAGCACTAACACTGAGTAGGGCTGTATGTGGCTTCCCAAGGTTATAGAGTCAGTGCAGAGCAAATCAGGCTACTTATATTTAGCCTTGCAAATGGTGCAGTATGGATTATGTCTTCGGGCTCTCCAGTTTCGTCTTCAGAGCATTTTGTTGCATGAAGGGGGGCTGTGGATCATGAGGCTGCTTTTCGGGTGAGGAGCGGGTTCACTTCATGTTCTTAGAGCAGCTTTCTTTCCGTTTTTCCTGCTCACTTACCACAACCCTTTTTACTCTTACTCATCTTCTGGAGGTGGAGGGCTATTTGAGGAGTCTAAAAGACACCAGAGAGGACACACTTGAGTTGACTGACAGTCCTGTTGAGGGAGAGCTGGGAGCTACTAGAGCAGTGGAGAACAACCTGTGCCACTGATCATATCAGACTATTTCTACAGGTTATTCAAATTTGGGATCAGACGGTGTCATGGATATACTCGCCTTACAGGCAAAAAACAAGACTGTAGCAGAATCTGAGAAGAAGCCTGCACCAAGGCCAAAACCGAAACCTCCCAAAAAGGCCAAACGGATAGTTTACTTTGAGGTAGAGATTGTGGACTTGAAGACCAAGGAGAAACTCTTACTGCTAGATAAGGTGAGTGTCTGGGCGATGAAGCATTTCTGATTACACTCACCTTTTATATTGACCATAATGATTTTAGAACATTGGTACTACTTGCTTTAATTAGTGCCTGATGAATACTGATCACAGTGTTAAGCCTGATACATAAATCATGTGCTTGAGAACATCTTGCGAGCCTTAACATCTATTATTGAACTTCATCCCACTGATTTTCTTTTAAGTTTCATGATTTAAACATTTTACATCTGTGCTAAAAATAGCATAAGCAGAGACTTTGCACTGAAGCCAGTGGAAACATTCGTTTTAGTTCAAGAACTGCAGAGTCATCCCTGTTAACAGACAGGCGATTTTACAGATAATCATCTAGTTCACAGGCAGCCCTTATCAGTTACGTATCTATTGGACAAGTGGACAGATACTATAGGAGGTGAGAATTCCCTCTTCATCTACCAGGAATCGTCTGTTCCAGCTTTAGCACATGCCTGTGCTGCCTGGGCCAACAGGCAGGCAGGCACATACATATCATTTAGTCATAAAGAAAAACACAAGCAATCACACAGCAGAAGAACAGAGCAAAATGCAAGTTTGACAAATTCCAAAGGAAATGAAACTGTCTGGACTAAAACAATAATTAACCATGACTTCAGCTTTTGTTTTCTTAGCACCCAATGTGTTGTAAATTGACTTGTCTGTACATTAATGCAGGTGGAGCCAACTGCCACAGTTTTGGATATCAAGGCTTTGTTTCACAAATCATGTAAGTTTAAAACAATTAAGACAATTTTTTATATTTGGTTGGTTTTAAATGACAATAAATAATCTCCCTAGCATGCCCCGAGTTAAATCCCTTTCCATTTTGACAGATCCAAAGTGGTATCCAGCCAGACAGTCCCTGCGTTTGGATCCAAGTACATGTGCATTTTAATAAAATTCTGCATATATTCCACTCAGCTGAATAACAGATGTGATAAAGACATTATGTCTGGTGTTGTCATGTTTCTCAGAGGCTAAGTGTCTCAGGGATGAGGACATTCTCCAGACACTTCCAGTGGGAACCACAGCCATCTTTTACTTTAGCGACCTAGGTCCTCAGGTCACACGGGGAACTGTGAGTCAACCTGTGCATGCAGTATGTAGGGTCATACAGTGGTGCTGTATGTTTTAGTTGATGTCCTGTGAGCTATTGTCCAAAGTGGACTTTGTGGTGTATTTTTTAGATTGATTCCCACCATACTTTGGCATCCCTTATTAAAAATACTGAGATTTGAATGGGGTAAATCAGTTTTGAGTATGATTTGGGAAAAAAAATCTGCCTTTTGCTTATTTTGATTGATTCTCCAATATTTAATCCTCCAAACAGAAACTATGTTAATAGCAGAAATGATTCACATTGTCCTTTTAATTTTAAGCTTGTAGACTTGTGTCCTGGATATTTTAATTCTAAGCTTGTAGACTTGTGTCCTGGATATGATTCAACAAGTCTAGATGACAAGCAGCAGACTATACCTCAACAATTCAGTCTTTTTCATGAGCTGACAAGAGAAAAAGGTTTGCTTTGTAAAATGGTCTATGGAGTATGCAGGATGTGCACTTAATGGACTTAAATGTGCAAAAAACACTGATTTGGTCTTCTTCTCTCACTTGGGCTGCTCAAGAACCTCTGAATATAAATTTCAGCATATGGTGACAGAGGTGATTTGCTGTGGTTTGTTTTTCTCTCACCTTCCTCACTGCTTGCCCTCTGTCCTAGGACACATAATCTCATGGCCCCATTTCTCCCAAAGGTGTTTATCCCCCTGATCTCTCTCTTGCCTTTTATTGTATCTCTTTACTCACCCTTGGCCATCCAGTCTCTACATTCCCTGTCCTTACCAACCCCGATACAATCCCATTGACCTGCCAGGCTTCAGACTGATGCCAGTGTGGGTGGAGAAGCCTGAAGTGGCCACACAGAGGTCACCAGCAGCTACTGGTTAGGCATGCTGAGTTCGAGGTGCTGGTTCAGGGACAGATTTCACTGTCAGCTGTGCTGCTTCACTTGATTCTATCATTTGCAGAAAGCTGGTATTACAAGTTGTCCTGGTGTCTCATTTGCTCCATGGGCACATGTTGAATACTATTGTTACACTGAATGGTTGTCAGTGCTGTGAAGAACTAGACGGACTGTTTTTGCTTTCAGATGGTTTTATTTAGAAGAGAAGCCATAGTCACATGGGTGTCAGTTTCATGTTCTCCCTTTGGCTGAGGGCTTAGACTGTCAATCTTACAAGGAGAAAATATTTTTATATTACTAGTTAGTGCATTTTCTATCAGAGAGGTTAAACATTATCTCCGTTAATTGTAATGCTGTTCAGTGAACCATACATGACTAATGTTTTTTTTGATTATTTGTTTTGCATATTTTTATACTTCTCATGCATGATAAACAAAATTAAAAGCATTTTTGTCTTGTCTTTGTTCATTTTAGGTATTCCTAACAGAGTGTGCAGGTCCGCTGATCATCTACTTAATGTTCTACTTCCGCCTTCCCTTCATCTACTCACCAAAATATGACTTCACCAGCAGCAAGCACTGGGTTGTACAGTGAGTGTCAGCTTGCTTATGTGTTCTGGGATCTGTTGCAATGTTGCTGCAGTGCATCACACAATCCCAGGCTCTGCACAAATGCCCCCTCAACATAGCAAACAGCCATGGAGCATGTTGACAGTGAATCAGAGCCAAGTGTAATTGACTGTTATGGGGCAATGTATTAATCACAGCTAAATATGTCAGCGTGTGTCCTATTGCAGCTTGGCCTGCATGTGTTACTCCCTCCATTACATCAAGAGGATTCTGGAGACACTGTTTGTCCATCGTATCTCTCATGGGACCATGCCACTCAGAAATATATTTAAGGTAAGTGAAATGATATTTTAACCTTTGAACATGATATTTGTTATTTAGCTCTGTTCATGTTCTCAGAAATCTGAACTAAATATATGTTAAGCCTTATTTTGACAGTTTGACTTATTATAGTTCCACTTTCTGTTCAAGAATTGTGGCTATTACTGGTGCTCTGCAGCTTGGATGGCGTACTACATTAACCACCCTCTCTACACCCCACCCTGTAAGTGCTGACCGCTACAGTTCTCACTTTAACTCATCGGTCACAGTTGACTGCTATCTTGACCTACTTTTCTGTGATACATTGACAGATTACGGGCAGCAGCAGGTGCATATAGGACTTTATCTTTTCTTGGTAAGTTAGAGATCTGTTCAAGTTTTTCTGGCTCTGTAAAATAATTGTAAAGATATTAAACCCAGGAATTTATAGTTGAGTATTCATCTTTGGATGTCTTTAATCTCACAGTTCTGTCAAGTGGGGAATTTTTCCATCCATGTTGTGCTTCGTAACCTCAAATGTCAAGGTGAGCGTTTTGTCACAGTGCCACATATTGTTGATTTGCAGTTTTTTTGGGGCGGTTAGTGATATTTGATTGTCTAAAAAAAGAAGCCAACGGTTCATGGCAATTCATTGTTTAATCTCAGGTTCAAAAAGCAAGAAGATTCCTTACCCAACGAAAAATCCATTCACATGGACTTTTTGGCTGGTCTCTTGTCCAAACTACACATATGAGGTGAGCACACACATGAATCTTCTCATGCATCATGTTTAGAAACGTTTCTCTCCAAAATAATTTTTGAAATGTGTTCTAACAAAGTAAATAAATAAACTCAAAAGTAATCTAAAAATGTTTCCCTAATTTCACATTAATTGTGTGAATACGAATTTGTATGTAAGAAATATGAATTCAATGGATTTTGTTTGTTTTTTTTGGCCACCTAATTTTTTAAATGTATTTTGCAGAAAGTAATGCTTTACATTTCTGTACTAAAATATCGAAGCCAGTTGTTAATCACTGTGTGCACCCCAGTCACCTAATACTGACTTTTCTCATTGTTAATATAAGAAGTGCTTTTGCTGCCACCTACTGGTGAAATCCTGCCCTTGTACCATAAATCTCAATGCGCTCTGTGTGTTTGTAAACGTCCTGCTCCCAGCTGGGCTCCTGGATCGGCTTCACAGTGATGACCCAGTGTGTGCCTGTGGCTTTCTTCACTCTCGTGGCCTTCATCCAGATGACTGTGTGGGCCAAATGCAAACACCGCAGCTACTTAAAGGAGTTTAGAGACTATCCAACCCTGCGCTCCTCCATACTCCCCTTCATCCTCTAGAGCCTGCCATACAAAACAATGCTAATACATCTAACTCCTCAACCACTGGGACTTGTTTAAAGGCCCCTCCATCCATGTGGATGCCAGTAACTGTGCTATCACATATTCTTAAATGCTGCTCCATAACAAGGAGTGGCATGCAGTTACTCTGAGTGTTGGACTTTTAGCCTTCAGAGCTGAATACAGCAAAGTCTTAATTTAATTTTCTGTGTGACCTTGAAGAGAAAGGTGAGAAATGTTCTTTTTATTTTGCTACTTTGATCAGTTGTAAAATATCTGATTTAGGGTGCTGTTTTTTTCTTAAAAACCTTGTCAAGCTAATCAGTGAATTTCCCCAGAGATAAGAAACAAAGAGACTGATCTGCATTGTCAAACTAGCACTGTACGCAGCGTGGAGCTGACAACTGTGTGGCCTCACGCGGCTCTATCCGATGGATCTGACTGATCCAAATGACCTTTACACTATGGCAGTGCTATTAGATCTGGATTTAAAAAATTGTATGCCATCTTCCACGTTTTCCTCTGTGGGTGAGAATATTCTTTACTTTTTGTATTAACATGAATCAAGTGCATTTCTTACGAGAGTTGAAAACAAAACTGCTTCATGCTCAGACTCGTCCTACAAAATATACTTAAAATTATTTTATACTGCCAAAGTTATTAAATTGAAAAACCAAAAAGGCCAAGTTTCAGTCATCAAACCCTTATCAGTGTGTTATATACATCTCATTGTGCATTGTCTCTGTTATTTTTGTACTAATCTGATGATTTGTGCAGCTACAGTATACACAGTTAACAGAATATCTTCAAAAACTGGATACATGACACTGGAAACAAAACACACATTTATTCACCACTGCTATTCCTTTTTCACTGAAGGCTGCATCAACTAAACCTTCACATTAAATAAGGAACTTTGGTGTTAAAATATTCCT